TCCAGTTTTTTTTTTTTTTTTTTTTGAGAGGTTTTTGGTATAGGGTGCATGTGCTCACAAGAGAGACAAAAAGAAAGAAATCACCCCCAAGGGTCATGGTCACACTGCAATCCCTTCTCCTCCAGTCTCCTCTTGGGATTTTGGACACATGCCCAGTGTGAGTTTTAAGCTGCCCGGTCTGGGACTCGTACTGCAATCGGCTACATGGGAGTCCAGCGACCTAACCATTAATCTGTCTGCTGGTCTCTGACTAGTACTTCTCAAAACCATTAAAGAAAGACATAATAACCAAAAAATGGAGATGACCACTTTGATGAATGTCGGCGTCCGCCCCCAGGCTTAGCGCTATTATGGAAGAAGCAGAAAAGATGAGACAAAAGGATAGAGTGGAAATGGACACAGGCAGCCTGAGCCTAGGTAGCCCAAGCAACCTGTGCCGCCCAGATGAACTGGACGTCTTTATTTATAGTACAAGGGGACATTACACATGTATGTTTTATGACACTTCATGGATTAGTTGCCAGGTTACAGACAATGAGAAGCAGTTAACAAATCTATAAGGGATTAGTCATACCCTGGGCAAGGTGTATCCCTTGGTGGTAATCTCATCTAGAGTAAATCTCATCTTCCTTTCTAATGCAGAGAACTAGCTGTTAGGTGTGGGGAAGGAGCTAAAGAACTTCTCCAGAAGGAGAGCACCACCACACCCAGAGTAGGCTAAAGAACCTTTTAGATGCAGAGCAGGGATTGGACTTTACTAATTGGGGTCAAGATGTTTCTTGAAGTCCATCAGATGTGCCCTTAGTAATTTCCACCCTTGCTCTGTCAGCCACCAAGGTTAAGGAAAGACAAGTTACAAAGATCTGCCAAACCCCAAAAGAGCATGGGGTGTTTGCTCAGCGCATGTCCCCACACCTCAGACTCTCTCTCTTAAACGTGTCCCCACAGATGAATGCATCAATCAGTGTGGTCTTCCCATACGATGTGAGATTTTTTCTTTGAGAGGTTTTTGCTATAGGGCGTGTGCGCTCACCAGAAAGACAGAGAGAGACAGAGAGACAGAAAGCAAGAAATCACCCCCTAGGGGGGATGGCCATGCCGCAATCCATTCTTCATTCTCCTCTCAGGATCTTGGGCATGCACGCACAAGCACTCGGTATGAGTTTAAGCCACCATGACCAGGACTTGAACTGCAGTCGGCTACATGGAAGTCCAGCAACATAGCCATTATGCCAACTGCTGGTCCCACAATGGGATATTATAAGCCACAAAAAAGGAATAAAATACCAAACACACTACCACTGGTAAGAACCTCAAAAACATGTGAAAGAAGCCGGACGCAAAGGCCACAGATCGTACAGTCATTGACGCAAAGCATATAGAACAGGCAGACCACACACAGGATTCGTGAGTACCTGGCCTGGGGAGCCTGGGGAGCCGACGTGACTGCTAATGGGTGTGTGGTTTCTTAGGGAGGGGATGAAAGTGCCTGGAATGAGATACTAATAATGGCTGCACAGCTTTGTAAAAACTAAAAGCTGTCAATTGTGGGAGAGTAGTACAGGCTGTAAATTACATCCCCATCAGACAAGACAATGTCTGAAAAACTGTCACAGCCCAGAGAAGACTCAGGAGATAAGACATCTACATGCAGTGTGGTATCCTGGATGGGAGGCTGGAACAGAGAAAGGTAAGAGCAAAGGAAACCCGGGGGGTGGGGGGGACATCAGTGGCTCAGCAGGAGAGCACGGCCCCAGGAGGCTGCCACGCATGGGAAGGTCTCCAGCTCAAAAGTCTGGAGACTTCCCTGAGTGCGCCAGGGTCTCAATGAGCCCCGGATCTGGCCTGGCTGGAGCTGGGGGTGGATCATGGCATCAAGACCTGTTGGGGTTGCTGTGTCTGTCTGTCTCTCTCATTCATGGATAAATACTTTTTTTAATTTTTAAATTT